AGATAATTCCAAAAGATCAATACGTGATGTTATAAAACTGTACATAGGCAAAAGATCTACTCACATTGGATTGCATATGTATATAGACATTAGATATCTACTGCTGTGTAATAAATTGTTCCAAAATTTAGCATTCTGAAACAACAAACGTTTGTTATTTCTCAGTTTCTGTGGGTTAGGAATACAGGTGTAGCTTAACGAGGTGCCTTTGGTTAGTGTCTTTCACAGGGTATAATCAAGGTATCAGACTGAGCTACACTCATCTCATAGCTTGAATAGAGAAAGACCCCTCTTTCTGAGCCCACTCATGTGGCTGTTGGTTGGTTGGAGACATCAGGTCCCTATCAAAGAACAAATGAGAGAGCCAGAGAGGGCTTCCCAAATGGAAGCCATCACCATCTTTTTAAATCTAATCTTGGAAGTGACATACCATCCAATCCTATCACCTCTGCCACATTCTATTCGATCCTGCTCATACTCAGGATATCCACATACAGGTTATGAATATCAGGAGATACTCATAATTGGGAGCAGTCTTAGAGACTGCCTACTTCATAGGCCTATGGACTTTAATGGAGCAAATATGAAACGTTCATTAATGAGATATCAGATTCTAAATTGCAACCACTGGTTGAATGTTGGTGTAGAATCAGAGGAATTATATTAAAACACTATTAAAATATTCCTTTTTACAATTACATGACTATGTAAGGTTGAATTTTAATTTTCTTCATATACTTTAAAGGAATAGCAGCAGATTGCAGAATAGAATGCAGAAGGACATCCGAAAATTCAGATATCTTCTTTTAAGCCAGTTATTAACAGATTTGTGAAAATGTGAAACAGTGTCACTTTTCTCACTAAATTTTTTTCTTCACCTGCCCCACTCTCTTAAATTATGAAGCTTCTTTTAGCTCTTTGTAGGTTAGTCTCTCTAGCCTCAGTGGCCAGCACTCTTATTATGTAGGCACCAGAGTGAGAATACATAGGACTGATGTTTACTTTATAGCAGATGGTCTGGAAGAGCCAGGAAACCACATACTGAAGAGGCAGGCAAGAATAATGGTTGTAGTGCTAGAGTTATTGTGGCCTTGGGAGTTTCTTGGTTAGACTTAGGATAAATAAGGGGGAAACAGGTTATGAGCCTAAGAAATAAAAGGGGTTGGGTAGAAAATTAGTAATAAGAGGAACTAGTGAGAATCCCTCCTAGTGAGAACTAGGAGATCTAGAGCCTGAGAAAGAGGAGCTAAATTGAAGGTGGGTGGTATGGGGAGAAAAGAGAGAGTGGGAGAGGAGGGAAGGAGGCTTGGGAAGAGAGAGAGAGAGCGAGAGAGAGAGAGAGCGAACTATTGATCGGCCTGCTTTTGGCAATTTAAAAGTAGAAGAAAACTACTTTCATATACTACCTTACCAATAGTAGGGTTCTGTCTTAGGTAGTTATTCCTAAGACACTCTTACTTCCTTAATTATGCTTAAAATGTACCTGATAATGAGTTTTAAGAAGGCATTCTTGAGAGACTATATTATTACTGCTAGAAACATATATTTGACATAGGACCTCTTGATCAAAAATAATTTCAAGATTGAAAAGAATGACATTCCTTGATTCTTTATAAAGTAAGGGAGGGATGGAAAAATAATGCAATATTTAAATTTTTAAAAATTCAATTTAAATAAATGTAATACAACTAAAATTCAATTTAAATTAAAAAATTCAATATAAAACTAAAACATGAAAGTTACTTTCTTTCTTTTTTTTTTTTTTTACCAAATCCCTTTGCTAGAGATATTGTGCTTTTTTTTTGTTTTGTTTTGTTAATCCTCACCCGAGGATATTGATTTATTTATTTTTTGTAAGAGAGGGAAAGACAGAAACATCGATGTGAGAGAAACACATCGATTGGTTGCCTCCTGCATGCGTTCCGACCAGGGCCCTGATCAGGGAGGACCCTGCAACCAAAGTATGTGTCCTTGACCCTTTGGCCCACAGACTAACACTATCCACTGAGTCAAACCGGCTAGGGCGAGATATGGTGCTTTTTAAATATAAATATGGATATATGTATGTGCATAAATGATATACAGCCTGATAATGCTTTAAAGGAAAATGAGATTTTTAATGTGTGCTTCTGTATTTTTGTTTTGTTTGTTTGTTTGTTTATTTCTCAATAGTTCTTAGATAGAAAGAATTATCCTATATGATAGCAAACACAGGTTGTTGGGAAAGAAGCTTTGATATGGGATAGGGAACTTTTATACTTTCTAACTAATCTTACTACTAATCATCATTAATTAACATGGAACATTGTTATGGTTACATGTTGGCCAGGAATGCAATAAGCCAACAGTGATTATTACCCATATTGAGAGAGTCATTAAATGTCTCTATTTATTGTAATGTATACAAATGATCTGGCAAATTTTTTTTAGGTTTGAGGACACATATAGGAAGATAACATTTTGACTATTGCTTTTTAGACTTCACCTGTAAAATACAGAGGTATCAGAAGATGGTTCTACTTGCTTTTCTGTTACTAAATCATTGTGTAACTGCAGGGAAAAAATTTTCTTCCAAAATTAAATGTTTTTTGTTACTTATAATTTTACATGTATACCCATTTATTAAGTAGTTTCAAGTATTATTATTTAGAACTTAGTTACTCAAGTGTTATGCCAAAGGGTAGACAGATCCCTTAGGTCAGCAATTTTCAACCTTGTTTATCTCATGGCACACATAAACTGATTACTAAAATTCTGTGGTGCGCCAAAAAATATATTTTTTGCCGATCTGACAAAAAAATAAGTATAGTTTGATTCACACTGGATGGCTATTGTTGTGTTGGCTGTTGTCATTTTTTTGTTTTAAATATATTTTTACTGATTTCAGAAAGGAAGGGAGAGGTAGAGATAGAAACATCAGTGATGAGAAAGAATCATTGATTGGCTGCCTCCTGCATGCCCCATACTGGGGATCGAGCATGTGTCCTGATGGGGATTCGAATTGTGACCTCCTGGTTCATAGATTGATACTCAACCACTGAGCCATACCAGGTGGGCTATTTTCTTTCTTTTTTTTTTTTTGTAATTTTCACCCTAGGATATTTTTCCCATTGTTTTTTTTTTTTTTTTTTTTTTTCCCCTTGTGATTTTTTTCCTTTTTTTTTTTTTTTTTTTTTTAGAGAGAGTGGAAGGGAGGGGGAGAGATAGAGAGAGAGAAAAAAACATGCATGAGAGAGAGACACAGATTGGTTACCTCCCACACACACTCCGACCAGTGTTGGGGTCAAGCCTGCAACTGAGATACATGCCCCTGCTTGGAATCAAACCTGAGATCCTTCAATCCAAGGTCCAACACTCTAATCGCTGAGGAAAACCGGCTAGGGCTATTGTTATCATTTGACAATCTAAGGGAAAAGAGGTTAGTGCCCCTCACTAAATAGTCAGGCACTGCATGTTTTAAAAATTCTTGTGACACACTGGTTGAAAATCACTGCCTTAGGCTAACCTGAATTAGATATTGGCAACATTTGCAACTTCATATCCATGGGAGTCATCCGCAAAATCTTCTTTCTTCTTGTCTTTTACACAGGTTTGGTCAAGTCTCTTTAACAGGACCTTAATTTTCTCATTTGTAAAACAAAATCATTGGGCTGAAGATGGTTGAGATAATTCTGTATGAATTATTTGAAGGTTTTTAAAACACTTCATTTTTTTTGAAGGGGGACACCATTATGAATCTATGAGTGTTTTAACAAATACGTATAGATAAGGAAGTTTTTAGAATTGTTTCAAAATTAATGTTTAAATTTTTGTATAATTCTATTTTCACCCCTTTAAGCTCCTAAAAGACGGCGGCCTGCACGTTCAATATTTGATGGTTTTCGGGATTTTCAAACTGAAACTAGTAGGTATCTATGCATCAGTTTATCCTCCCTCTGTCTGTCTCTCTCCTTGTCTTCCCCTCCTTTCCTTTTCCCTCTCCCACGCATAAAACCACAATGTGGAAAAGTTCCTATACACTCCCTAACAGGTCAAGTTCTTAGTTTCATGTATATACTTTTCTTTTTTAATTTTAGGGAGAGAGAGATGAAAACATCAATGATGAGAGAGAATCATTGATTGGCTGCCTCCTGCACACCCCCTACTGGAGATTGAGCCCACAACCCAGGCATGTGCCCTTGATTGGAATCAAACCCAGAACTCTTCAGTTCACAGGCTGACACTTTATCCACTGAGCCAAACTGGCTAGTCTATATACTTTTTCTTAAAAAGAAAAAGATGATTAATATGAGGTCTAATTACTTTGAAGAATCACCTTATTTTAAAAGTAAAATTATGAATTCAGTCTGTGATTGTTTCTCCAGAACTGATTTGTTTTAAATTTTAAACTACTTGGTGATAGAAGAAGAATAAGAAAGATGAAGATAATGTAAAAATTTAAGTAATTTACAAACTTAATGAGCTTTTGAATGAGCACTCAAACACTGACTATAATAAAGTAAAAAACTGATTACCCTCAAGATCCTAGTATCTGTCAATGAACACAATGGGGAATTGAAAAATAGAAGAAAAAGCCACACCCAAAGCAGCCAGTATTAACATTTTGGCTACAGTTGTTTAGAATAGGTTTATATATTTCTGTGGAGTAAGTTAGAATGAGAATCTTGACTTTACACTTTTAGAGGAATTAGTACTGATTTAGCAATGGAACTGTAAAGAAAAGGACAGTTACGTTTGAGAGAATATATGAGAAATTCTTGGACCATGTTTGATTTTGTAGTTGATTTATAATGAGCTCATTGAAGCACAACTAGGTCTTGTAACTTTGAAGGGGAACCCAAACTGACTCAGGTTATCCAGGGAATCCTGTGCCCTGCCAGGAGAGGGTGATAGCAGTGGTCATTCTTGCTATTGCCAGAAACTTTGAAGATTGGGAATATAGCGGGAAACTACAGGTAAATTAAGATTACTTTTAGAACTAGATAAATGGAGTTGAAAGTTTTCTCCTGTACTAAAGTTGGTTTTGAATATGTGAAGGAAATATTTTGATTGTGAGACTAATATAAATTTCTGCTTTTATCCTTATCTTTTGGTAGAAAGCCACCACTAAGTTTTAAGACTCCCTCCCTACCTTGCTTTGTATTTTTTTCAGAATTAGCATTTTATATTTGCATTTTGAGGTCAAGCACATTGTTAAGTAATTCCTGCAATTGATACATGTCTTTTATACTGTTAGATTTATTCCTTTTATGGTTAGTTGAAACTTCCTCATCCTTCTGTGTTTCAGTTCGGCAAGAACAAGAGTTAAGAAATGGTGGAGCCATAGATAAGAAACTAACTACCCTGGCAGATCTGTTCCGGCCACCCATTGATTTGATGCATAAAGGCAGCTTTGAAACAGTAAGTAGTTGGAAATTCTAAGCTCGAAGTTATGAATTCTTCTGCACTTTCAATGCCATTTTTTTTCTAAGAGAAAAAAAGTTTTCAGCATACTGTATAGAGAATTGGCATCCTAATAAGTATAACATGAGAGATACCTAAAAGGTTACATTAATTTATGTTTGTATTAGCAGTATATGAGATTGCTTAATGAAAGCATTTTTTTAGCCTGTGTTGGTATTTTAGAATCTATGCCATTTTCATAGTTCTTTTATTATCTTACTTTTTTAAAGTTTACCTATCTTTGATTACTACTGAGAATAGTGTGCATGTGTTTGTTGGCTATTTGTGAATTGTTTGTAGGTATCTTTTGCCCACATTTCTAGGAGGTTCTTAGTGTATTTTTAAAAATATATATTTTTATTGATTTCAGAGAGGAAGGGAGAGGGGAAAGAGAGAGAGAAACATCAATGATGAGAGAGAATCATTGATCGGCTGCCTCCTGCACAACCCTTCAGTCTGCAGGCTGACGCTCTATCCACTGAGCCAAACCAGCAAGGGCAGTGTATTTTAAAAGAATATCTCTGTAGTTTCAGAATACATTCTGACTTACTTCTTGGCTTTAACTTGGTTAATGCCAAAGAAAAACTTTCCAGAGCAAGTTTATTTGATTACTTGCTGAATTATAAGCTTAATAAGGGCAGGAAGAATGTGCATCATTTTATTTTGGTAAATCTTGGGACCTAGTCTCTGGCATTTAATAGGACCTAGTATTTGTTAAATGATGGAATTTAGTTAGGATTTTAAATATTCTTCTGTTGAGGTGTTCAAACAGCTTGCTTTTGTGTATTGAGTAGCTTGTTAATGCTCTTTTGCATTAGAATGGCATTTGCATTGATGTAAATCAATTAGGTTTAAGATTAAGTCTTACCTGTTAGAATAAAGTAGGCCAAACAATAACCACAAAAATGATGTTGGTAGCTACAGCTATATATTTGAAAGTGAATTATGATTGTTTAAAAAAATTTTTTTCCTTGACATACTCTTACACTAGCCTAGATGAAGTATTTAGGGTAAGAAATTTAACCATAGCTTGCTCTTCTGTTTTAATTTTCTGAATTGTAAAACCTGAAAGTGTTTGGCTGCATGTAACAGAAGATCCAAATGATGGTGATTTGACCAAACAAAGGTTTCTTTTGCCCAGCTGGTGTTGCTTAGTGGTTGAGCGTCAACCCATGAATCAGGAGGTCATGGTTTGATTTCTGGTCAGGACACATACCTAGGCTGCAGGCTCAATCCCCAGTGGAGGTAGGTGGGGAGGGGCAGTGCAGGAGGCAGCTGATCAATTATTCTCATCATTGATGTTTCACTCTCCTTCTTTCCCCTCTCCCTTCCTCTCTCTGAAATCATTGAAAACAACTTTTTTAAAAGGGTTTCTTGTCCTAGTTGGTTTGGCTCAATGGATGGAGTGTCTGCGGACTAAAGGGTCCTGGGTTTGATTCTGGTCAAGGGTACTTACCTTGGTTACAGGCTCCCCCCTGGCCCGGGCCCTCCGTGCAGCCAATCGATGTGTTTCTCTCACATCCATATTTTTCTCTGTCTTTCCCTCTCTTCTACTCTCTCTCTAAAAAAAAAGAGATAAATGGAAAAAATATCCTCTGGTGAGGATTAAAAAAAAAAGAGTCTTTTTGTCATCTAAAAAAGTCTAGAGGTGAGGGAGTCTTTGGTGTTTATCAGCTCACATATGTCAGGTTAGATACCTCCTCAGTTTTCCTCATCCTTCCCTCATGATCTTAACATGGCAGCTGCTTATACTTTCTAGTGTTCCAGGCGCTTGTCTGCCTATCCTTTCTAATGTTCTGGTGATAATATAGCCACTGAGAGAGAGTAGCAGCAATGTGAAAGACAAAAATGATCTAGTTTGTTTTGACATGTTTTCCTTTTCATTAGCTTTTGAGTTGCTCTAGGGCAGGGGTGGGCAAACTTTTTGACTCGAGGGCCACAATGGGTTCTTAAACTGGACTGGAGGACCGGAACAAAAGCATGGATGGAGTGTTTGTGTGAACTAATATAAATTCAAAGTAAACATCATTACATAAAAGGGTACGGTCTTTTGTTTTTTTAGTTTTATTAATTTCAAACGGGCCAGATCCGGCCCGTGGGCCGTAGTTTGCCCACGGCTGCTCTAGGGCTTAATAAATAACTCTGTGCTTGATTTAATCTTGTCACTTTGGGCTCATAAAAAGCAGTTACCCTGATGCTTGTTCATTGAAGTAAACCAAATCTTTTTTGAAATTGCTGTCTGATTTTTTGTTCATTTTTTAAAGTTACATAACCTTTTTTCTTTGTATTTCATGACCTGCATTGTTTGCAATAATCTATTCATATCTTCACTAATACTAAAGTTTATCATTTATGAGTCTTTAAATGACATTAACACTCCCAGAAAAAATAGGCATTTCGTTATAATAATGATATATCTATTAGTTTTATATAAATTAGGAAGGTCACATGCAAAATTAAGTCATTGATGTTTAGAGAGGTGAATGTTAAAAATTATACGGACTCTCTTTGGTTGCTCTGGCAGGGCCCATAGGTTTGGGCACAATATCAGATGTAGCTGTGAGCCATAGTTTTACAGGTTTAGAAACTAGACTGTCTTAGTGTATCTAGAGATAGACCATATTCAAAGGTTCTGAAGAGACTGATTAATTTACTTGTTCATTTAATATTTATCGAGGCCGCCTTTTGTAAGGCCTTGTCTAGATAATAGGGATTATATTTTTTGGGATAGATTTTACTGCATGTGAGAGAGACCAGGAAGAAAACAAATAGTAGCTTAAACAAGATAGAAGTCCAGGCTATTAGGACGGTTCTGCTCTGTGAAGTTACTAGCAGTGCAAGTTTTCTTTGTCTTCTTCTTCTATTTCCTAGGTCTTGCTTGCCTTTGTCCATATGATTCAAGGGGACTTATCACCATGTTTGCTTTCTAGCCAGAATGAAGGAGGGAGGGGGCTGAGGAAGGTATACCTTTTCCCTTTAAAGGCACAACCTAGAAGTTGCTCACATCCCATTGACCAGAACTTGGTAATATGGTTACACCTACTGCAAGGGACACTAGGAAATCCAGGTGCTTAGAAGAAAATGGATATCGGGAGCCTATAAGCAGTTTCTTCCCCTGGGAGATAGTGGTAAGCACATTACACAAAGTCCTTGCCATCAAAGATTTATAATCAAGAGGGAGAAACAGACTATAAACAAATAAAAATCAAATGTATATACATATATGTAAAACATTTCGTGTGTGTTTGTATATACAATATAGAGAGGTAGGGTGTAATTTCAGGTTATAGTATGTAGTGGGAGAAAATAAACAAAATAGAATTAGGGACCCAGTCGGGGTGGCTCTGTGGTTGATTCCCAGTCAGGGCACATGCTCAGGTTTCGGGCTGGATCCCTAGTGTGGGGTGTACAGGAGGGCCACCGATCAATGATTCCTTTTCATTATTGATGTTTCTGTCTCTTTCTCCCTCTCCCTTCCTCTCTGAAATCAATAAAAAAATATTTTAAAAAATAGAATAAGGAAAGGAGAGGGCAATTTTTTTGTTTGTTTAGAGCCACTAAGATGCATGTATACTTAACAAGCAAAATTAAAAGCAGGGTTGATTTCATAGGTTTCCCATATGTTTGTAATTGTGAAGAGAGAAGACTGTTTTAGATAGGAAGATAAAGGAAGATTTTGAAGGATGAGATTTGAGTAGAAATCCGAGTGAAGTGAAGGAATGTGAACCATAGGAATGTTAGGGAAACAGCAGATAGTAAGGCTGAAAAGGGTATATTTCTGGTACAGCCAAGGAATCAGTATAGCTGTAGCTGAGTGACCCACTTAGGATGAATGATCTGACCTAGGCAAGGGAACATGTAGCTTGTAAGTTCCATGAACACAGGAACTTTGTTTTATTTGTCATTGTATTCAATGCTTAGAAGAACTTTTGGCACATAATTGGCCCTCAATAAATCTTTCTTAAATGATTGAATGGCATAATCTGGAGTATATGGTACAGAATCAGAATAATTTCCATAATAGTCTTTATTTTCATTATAAATGCATATTTATTTGTTATCATTTAATTCACATGTACTTAGTTGTAATTATTAAGAATACTTTGTTAATTTTAAAAGTCCTGCTAGTAAGTAAAAATATTTTAGCTAAAAATATAAAGAACCAATTCAGTAACAAAATATGTAAGATAAACTTTTTAAAAATAAACTTTATTTGTAGCTTATCTTTAGTTTTATTCAAAGTTGGCAAATATAGCAAACCAGTGGGGGAAAAAATAAAATCACAATTTCCATTAAAAGTACTGTGCATATTTTAATATATTTTCATCTTGACTTTATGTATATCTATTATTGAAACAAATATCTTTTCCTTTGTATTTTTTTAAAATGTATTTTTATTGATTTCAGAGAGGAAGGGAGAGGGAAAGAAACATCAATGATCAGCTGCCTCCTGCACAACCTCCCACTTGGGATCATGCCCATAACCCCAGCATGTGCCCTTGAATTGGACCCAGGATCCTTCAGTCCGCAGGTTGATGCTGTATCCACTGAGCCAAACCAGCTAGGGCTATTCTTTTTTTTTTCTTACTTTACTGATCTGTCTGGGACTGGTAGAGATACTCTCTCACTGTTTCCCCCTTGTCACGGATAAGTCATATCACATACGTCTCTACTTGATGTAGCCACACTTGTCCTTGGGTCTTCATAAAATGGCTTTTGAATGTTGATTCTGAACAGTCTAATAGATTCTAAGAGGGAAGGTTCATCATTTGTGTAAGACTCTCTTATATTCCCTCTAAACATTGTTGCTTTGCATAAAATTCATGTCTTTGGGCCTTTCCTTCCAGCAGTAATTTCTTAACAGCATTTTCAGTTTCTTGTACTGATTAATATAAGGTTTCTCCCCAGTGTATGCTTCATGAAGGCAGGGTTTTTTGTGTTTTGGTAACTGCTCTAATTCCAGCATCTATAGCTATACCTGAAACATGATAGGTATCAGCAAGTTTATTTGTTGAATGAATGAATCTGAATTAAAGCAAAACTGTGAATAAATGAACTTTTAAAATCAAAAGCAAATGACTGTCCATCAGTTTTAAACTCTTGACTTTTTTTTCTTCTCCATGTTGTAGTTTTAGGCAGACTTATGTACATTTACCCTGTTACAGAAATGTGTGTTAAATTTTTCCCGTCTCAAATACTTTTTCTTCAGTTAAGGCATATAAGTATACATTTATCACTCATTTATCAAATTCATGTGCATGCTATAGGTAAGGAAGTAAGTTGAACACTTACTTTCTAGGAGTAAGGAATAATTTTATTATATTTATATATTTTAAAATAAGCTTTTGACCAGGTAATACAGCTTTCTGGCTCAATACAGGGATTCCTTTTTGAACTTGACTTTTCACCTGTGGAATTAAAATTAAATATTGGAAAATGATTTTTTTCTGGAGGATTCATACCAAAAAATAGGATAACAGTTATCTTTAAGACTGTGTAAACCTTCTTAAAGCAGAAGATAGTTTTACATTGTCCAATACCTCCAAAATGATATATGTTTTTCAACTGTTAACGACCTGAGTTAATTGAAGATCTATGTTAATCTGGTATGGGAAATAATACTCTTCCAAGACAAAATTACTCAAAACTATTGCTTTCATTTCATTGTTCCTATACAGAGGTTTAAGGAAGCCTTTGCTTGCTCATTTGCTTTTCTGCCAATCTTTGTATTCAGCAACTTTTTAGGTTTTTATGGTGATGACAAACTATTAGGCAAAAAGTACATACTCATGATTAATATTTGTGCTATAAATTGGGGGGGTCTTTTAAAAATCATTCTGAAACATTCTTTGATCCTATAATCTCATTTTTTGAAATCTCCTAGGAAAACAACACTAAGAGAAAAAACCCTTAGCAGCTTTTACAGAAATATTTAGGGTGATCCTATAAAATAGTACATGCCTAATAGGGGTTGAAAGAGATAATGTGATAGAATTATGTGACTTGACCATAAGTTGTATAATCTTTTTCAGATGTTTAAATGTACAATAAAAGTCCAGCCATTATAACAAGAACAGTTTATTTAAATTTGAAAAATGCTTGGAAATGGACAGTATAATTATATATATCTATGCAAATTAATGTAAATAATGTATATATACCAAAAACTCTATATGTTATACTTGAGGGGAAAAACTTAGTAGTATTTAAATGAAAAGATAATAGTTTCTGAACTCTGAAACATATCAGTTACCAAGGAGAAATTATTTCTAACAGGTGTTGTGTAACTACTCTTATAGGCCAAAGAGTGTGGGCAGATGCAAAATAAGTGGCTGATGATAAACATCCAGAATGTACAAGACTTTGCATGCCAGTGCCTCAACCGTGATGTATGGAGCAATGATGCTGTGAAGAATATTATCCGGGAACATTTCATTTTCTGGCAGGTGAGGAGAGTTAATCAAAGTTTTAGTAGCATTTTACTTTTGTAGTATGGGATGTTGAGAAGGAGGAATTTAGTAATAAACTGGAAAAATTTTAATAACCGAGTTAAATTATGATGTATGAAAAGGTAAGACCACCCATAATGACTGAAATAGTAAGAACAAGTGAAAATTAGGGCAGCAATGAAGAACTCTCGAGGGAAGGAAAGAAAGAACCACGCTGCATAACTATATAACATTCATATCTCACATGAGCTTAAATATCTTGATAGAGTGCACAACTGTACTCTTCAATCCTGTATAATAAAAGGCTAATATGCAATTGACTGAATGGTGGAGCAACTGGTTGCTATGATGTGCACTGACCACCAAGGGACAAACGCTCAATGCAGGAGCTGCCCCTTGGTGGTCAGTGCACTCCCACAGGGGGAGTGCCTCTCAGCCAGAAGCCGGGCTCACGGCTGGCGAGTGCAGTGGCGGTGGTGGGAGCCTCTGCCTTTAGTTGGACATCCCCCAAGGGCTCCCGGACTGCAAGAGGGCACAGACCAGGCTGAGGGACCCCGCCCCCGAGTACACAAATTTTGTGCACTGGGCCTCTAGTTCTATATAATAAAACCCTAATATGCAAATCGACTGGTCACTATGATGTGCACTGACCATCAGGGGGCAGATGCTCAATTCAGGAGCTGCCCCCTGGTGGTCAGTGCGCGCCCATGGGAAGCGCCAGCCAGAAGCCGGCCTCACCGCTGGTGAGCGCAGTGGCAGTGGTAGGAGGTAAGGAGCAAGGGGTCCCAGACTGCTAGAGGCCTGGACTGCGAGAGGGATGTCTGACTGCTACCAGGGGTCCCAGTCTCCCTTGCAGTTAGGATACAGGCATGTGACCTAAGACCTGGGTTTAGAAGTAAACAATGTGAATATGTAGCAGTGAGGGGGGAACTGATTTAGCAAGCCCCAGTGCATGAATCTTGTGCACCAGGCCTCTAGTAGGAATATAATGTGAGCCACATATTTAATTAAAAATGCTCCAGTAGCCACATTTTAAAAGGTCAAAAGAAACAGGTGAAATTAATTTTAATGTGTTAAAATCAATATATCTAATACCAAACTAATATTAAAATCTTAATGAGATGTTTTGATTTTTGTGTGTGTATGTGTGAAGTCTCCAAGATGTGATGTGTGTATATTTCATAGGTACAGAACTGTCAGTTCAGACCAGCCATGTTTCAAGTACTTCAATAGCACATGTAGTGGTTGTTATAATTGACAGTGTGAATGTAGAAGATCTTGAGTAACGGAAAAACATTTGACTAAGATTTGGATTTTAGCTTGAGTTTTATACTTTTTATGTATATTTCTTAGTATTGTCACTTAATCTTGCTGATTCTGTTTTCTTTTTATGTAAATTATCAAGCTAAGGTTAGATAATCTTGTTCAAATTTTTTATTTTTTTATGAAAAATTATAGAAAATAAAAACATCTGAATGAACTTAATTTTTTCCACTATAAGATATGCTGTTAATGTTATTAATTTATTCATTCATGTTTTACAGGTCCCCTAAATTCAGTATTTTTTCTGAATGGTAAACTTTTCTTCTACAACTATTTTTTTAAATATGTTTTTATTGATTTTTTTTTTTAAGAGAGAGTGGAAGGGAGCGGGGTAGAGAGATAGAAACATCAATGAGAGAGGAGCATCATTGTTTGGCTGCCTCCTGCACACCCCCTACTGGGGATAGAGCCCATAACCCGGGCATGTGCCCTATCGGGTAATTGAATCAGTGATCTGTTGGTTCTGGGTCAACACTCAACTGCCGAGCCACACCAGCTGGGCTCTTCCGCAACTATTGGTTGAGAATCTCCTTGACTAGCACTATGCTAGCCAAGCTTATCATCTCAATATGTAGTGACTTATTAAGATGTATATGATAGAGTTTGGAATAATATAGGTGGACAGATAACTTGATCAGAAAGAACAATATCTCTTCTGAACTGGAAAGGGAGGAAAAGTGGATTGATACATGTTTCCACGGGGACTGAGGACAGGAAGTTGAGGTAGTTCACACCAGATTACCTTCATTTTTCTCTTTAATGTAGGAATGAATCCTAACATATACTAAAGGTGTATTTGGAGAATTGTTGTTGGTATATAACAAGGATACAGTTGATACTTTTTTAGAGGTTGACTTTTTTTTATATCAATGATTTAACAGGTTTATCATGACAGTGAGGAAGGTCAGAGATACATACAATTTTATAAGCTAGGGGATTTCCCCTATGTTTCCATCTTGGATCCACGGACAGGTAATATTTATTTTATATCAGCTTACAGCAATTGACATATGACGTATTTTTCAATTACCTAAGTATTTGATCTTTAATATTTGACTGGATTCAGTTTCAGAATTCTTTGTAATAATTTAGGTGAAGAGTTTTTATTCATGTCCTTTAGAATTATTTAAACATCTATTAAAATATGTTAGGGAGTCAGTCTGTTTCTGACAATTTGGGGAGATGATTGTATTTTATATTTATGCAGCTCTGTACTTTCTAAAACTAATATTTTATCTTGTCATATTTTAAGGGATCCCCTTGGGTTTTCTGTTATTAAAATATTAAGATTGTTCAGGTACTGGTTGTAATCCCACCAGAGAAGCGGAGGGTAGAACTGGTTTTATTATTAGTGAATTTTTATCAAGATTTTGCTTCGTTTGAATCTCTTCTTTCTAAATGCCAATAAATGATATTAGCAGATAAGTTGCCAGTTGGCTAGGAATCCTAGGTTGGCCATAATTGATGAATTCTTTAGGTTATGAAAACGCTATGTAATTTAAACTGGTGAAGGGTGGGTGAAAGGTTAACGTGGTGGTACTTGAGCAGGCTAAATAGCCATCACAGACGGTGGATAAAGAAAATTGAATTTATTTAAGAAAAGGGGTGGGGAAAGGGATATCCAAAGGGAAGGGCTGCATAGCACTGAGCCAAGGTGATATTGGGTGATGATGTCTGCCCCATGAGCTGGAATTTCATCTTTATATGCAGTCACTGGTGGGAAGTTCTTGTCGTCAGTGTGTGTGGGCTGAGTTGCTGGGCTTGGAATGTGGATATGCAATCAGGCGTCTTTAGGATAGTTTTAATTCCTTATATAGTCTGATTCCAGCAAATTTTCCTGGTCTTTGTCCTCCTGAAGCGGGAAGCTTGGACAAGTTTTGGGTCTTTGTTTTCCTGTGGCAGGAAGCTTACAAATGGCCATTAAGGACTATATTGCCCTGAGTCCTAACAGAGGGAATATCTGTTCCTTCCTAAAATTTTAATTATGCAAATGCCAAAAAAATACTTAATGAGAATGTTGAGAAGGCATGTTGATTTTATTATATTTACATATCACGTTTTTTAATTTTTAGGTCAGAAGCTAGTAGAGTGGCACCAGTTAGACGTATCCTCTTTCTTGGACCAAGTGACGGGATTTCTGGGTGAACATGGGCAACTGGATGGACTTTCTAGCAGTCCCCCCAAAAAATGTGCCCGTTCAGTAAGTATGAATAAGATGTGATAATGGGCAATTAAATGTAATTGTATATAGATGTCTTGTGTAAAATGTTTGAGGTTAAGATTTTAAAGATATTCATGTAAGTATTGGACAGTTATAATTTGTGGCTCTACAACATCTTAGATGCCCTTCTTATATTTTGATAATTTCCCACATGCGGATTCTGTCTTCTCAGTAAAATCATACGATTCATATTCCCAGTCTCCCTTGCAGTTAGGATACCTGGGTTTAGAAGTAAGCAATGTGAATAGGAGCGAGGAGGGGAACTGATTAGCAAGCCCTGATGATGGAGGAATCCACTTCTTTCAAAGGCAGCATTGCCAGGTCTAAGCAACAGTAAAAAAAAAAAAACAATGGTATTTTTGCTAGAAAACTCTCATGGTATAGGTGGTCATTATTACTAGTTATATAGCTTTAGGACCTGGCTCTCTAGCCCACCTTGAGATTACTTCTATACTTATTTTCTATAATATGCTATTATTAGGCAGACCTATTTGATAATTGGTCTAAATATTAATTGGAAATCATAGACCTACAAAGATATCAGAATTTCACATTGGTTGTAGAAGCTGTTAGGGTTTGATTGTCAGTGAGGATAAAATTAGTTTTAGAAGATAAGACTTTAATAGTCCATATCATGCAGTGATGAAAGTTACTTAACTAATCACATAGAATAAAGTACCCATTTAATAAAAGACTATATGGATACTTGCAAAGAAGGGGTATAAAATCCCCCTCCCCCCAATTATTCAGACACAACAGAGCAGAACTAAAACATTGTTTCACTTTTATCTATAGACTATTTCTTTGTTTTTTTTCATTGCTAAGAGAAGTTTTACTTACCTATAATTCTTTTTTAAGGCATTTAAAAAATCCAGAGTTTCTATAATTGTCCTAAGAGAGTTTCTTATCTTTTGCAGTCATAAGGCTGATACTGTAAAAAACCAGAGCCTGAGTTTGTGAGTTGCTGAATTTCAACATAAATTGAATTTACAACTTTACCAGTTCTCTTATAAAAATTAAGGAACTTAATGGAAAATAGTGGGACCATAAAAATTGGACAAATACATAGGGATGATTTGGGTGACTTAGTACCTCAGACTCTACTTACTATACTAAATTATCTGATTATTATAAATTTTGATCAACTGTGTGCAAGAGAAACATCAACAAATAATGGCTTAAACGAGGAAGACATCTACTTTTCTCAGCAAGAAGTCCAGAAGCAAGCAGTCTAGGGATTGACTTTGTAATGTCATCAAGGAACCAGGTTCCTCTTCTTTTATTCCCCACCTCCATCCATCACTAGTATTTATTGGCTTTTGTCCTCATGGCTACAGTTAGATGCTATACTCTTAGGTGCAAGCATGACAAGGAGGAACGGGGTGTTGACTGTTACAAAGGTAAACAGCTACGGATAAGAGTTTTGCTTATTTTAGCTGGGCACATTTTCTTGCACAAACATAACGGAGGCTCTGTTAATAAGGAAGCAGAGAAGACTGGATGAGAGATAGGAAACTAGCAGTGTCCGTCATAGTGTTGTTCTTTAAAATCAACTTACATGGTATATAGTGTTATCTGCAATCTATCCAAGCTGTTGCATGTCATGTGGGCACATCTGCTTGCTTTTCTGTGTGTGTGATAAATTAGCCTTAAGTTTATTATATTTAAATTTTTATAGCCTTAATAATTACTGTGCAATAAACTGAACACATTTAAAAATTAAAATTTGACAAATTTTGATATGAGTATCTTTTCATGTGCTTTTTTGCTATCTCTTGAAGTGTCAATTCAGGTCTCTGGCTTGTTTTTTATTGGGTTGCATGTCATCTTAATTGTAAGCATTCTTTCTTTATCCTCATGTTTTTTTACTAATTTTAGAGAGGGGAAGGGAGAGAGAAACATCAATCAGTTGCCTCCTGTATGCACCCCAACCAGGGATCAAAACTGTAATATAGCCCTAGCTGACTTGGTTAAGTGGATAGAGCGTCAGCCTGCGGACTGAGGGGTCCCAGGTTCAATTGTGGCCAAGGGCATATGCCTGGGTTGCAGGCTCCATCCCCAGTGGGGGGTGTGCACGAGGCAGCCGATCAATGATTCTCTCGCATCATTGATATTTTTATCTCTCTCTCCTTCTCCCTTCCTCTCTGAAATCAATAAAGAAATATATTTTAAAAAAAAAACAAAAAAAAACCTGTAATATAGGTATGTGCCATGACCGGAAATTGAACCCACAACCTTTTGGTGTATGGGACGATGCTCCAACCAACTGGCCAGGTCTATAAGGGTTCTTTTTATAGTCTAGATATAGTTTATAGATAATTTTCTCCCAGTGTGTTACTTACTTATTCATTTTATAATAGTGTTTTTTGAAGAGCAAATTTTAAATTACTGATGAAATCCAGTTTATCAACTTTTATATTCTATGCTTTTTGTCTTATGTGATAATTTTTTTT